GAGAAAAAGAAGCGTAGGCGTGTGCAAGAATGAGAACGCGGTACCTTTGACCCCTGACTATGACTAACGAGTGGCATAGTATATGTTTTTTTTTTGCCTTTGTTTGAAGTAAAAACGTGGGGATTTTGTTGAACGCGTTCCGAGATTTAAAACGTTGGAATTGTTGTGGAAAGTTGCGAGAAGTTTCGGTCAATATCCCTACGCTACAACCATACATTGGATTAGGATTGGGTTTCGAATTATTGGACAAAGTTCAAGCCGAAAAGTGAATAGGGAAAACAGATTTTTTTTTTCTCCCTGTGAATCTTATCAATTAAGATTTTTTTATGTGATGCTATTATTAAGGAAGTTAAATTAGAATTTTACTTGTACAAGAGATGTAAAAGACGTTAACTTCCTGTTTTGTTAAACACTTCACAACATTCCACGCTGATGTGTTTGATGTTTCTTAACAACATTCCTCGTTTTTACAGATCCTTTAAATTAAAAATAAAATTAAAAGTGTTTGAATGTGAGAAGTGAAGGTAAGGTTTTATTCTTTATATAGCTTTTACAATACAACTGGAGTATAGGAAAATTATTACAATTCAATTACTTTAAAAAAATACTACCAAAAATAAATAAATAAAATCGAAGAAGCATCAATCATTAAACTCTCATGATAAATTAATTATTAATGCAGGGAACTTATTACATGCTTTGATGAGTATTATTAATGGGTTCTATGGTCTTCGTTGGCATTCATTAGCTACACCCTTATGCATTAAATACTTTACATTCACCTCAATTTAATAATACAATAAAATAGAATTTTACATACATTAACTACTTATATTCACTTCAATTTATTAATATTTTTATTTTGTTATCATTCATTAGCAAAAAAAAGAAACATATTTATAACACTTAATAGAGAAAAAAAAACAAAATTTAATGCTTAAAAAGGTCTATGTCTTATTAAGGACGAAGAGGAGTGTCATATTATCATATATTAAATGTTTTAAATTTTATATTATATAATAAAAATTAAAGATTCAACGTATTTACTATTATATTATATGTATTAAATATCTAACTGTTTATGTACTATAATACAATATTATTACATGCATTACCTATTACTATATACTATACATTTTAGTAAAATACTGTATTTTATTTATGTTATTTCTTAAATTTTTATAATTTTATTTTTCTTTTTATAGTTTCTAAAAAATCATTTATTTATATTTAAATTCCTTAAAACAAAAATATTTGAAAATAAGATACTAATATTCACTTAAGTAACGAAGGGAGAAAAATTAACTTTTTCTTCAAATTTTATTTGTGCGTTCCATTCTCATTATCGATTTTCCTCTGAATTAAAAAGTAAGTTTTCATTATACTTGTAATAAATTAATTTTACATTTTGTAATTATATAATTTATAACAAAATAATCATACATAAAAATATTTATAATTTTACAAATTGTAATTATTAATTAAATATATATTTTAATTTATTATATTTATATTAAAATATGTATATATAAAAAATACTTAATCATTTTATCTTTATACAACTATATAATTATTATAATATTAAAACGAAAAAACTTAAATATATCATATTTCATTTTTAGTCAACTCAATTTTTTTGATAAATTTAAAATAAGAGCGAATCAATCCTAAATAGGATTTTGAAATACAATTAACAAATTTTCTTGTTAACACTTATTATTAATTATTTAAAACACATTTTATTAATATTCTTTTTATATTACTGAGAAAAAAACACATATCCTAAATGCCTAATTTTTTCTATGATAAATAACAAATAAAAATGATCATAATAATTTTGATGATAAAAAAAAAGTTAAATTGAAAAAAATGTGTTATTAATATTGATACTAATCTTTTTAATTGTTTAAAATATATTATAACATGAATTATTATAAAAACGAATGTGGTAAATATTAAAAAACAGTAAATAGTTGTATTTGTTTTACGAAATATTATAATATTTTTGTAAGAGATAAATCTTAAGAATAGTTGTGTAGTTTACTTGCACTTGTTCTATTTAATGTAATAGATAATCATGCTAATAGTTTTATAAAATAAAATTTATCTATCATAATCAATCACTTATTAGGTGAATAAAAAAATGAAAGAAATTCATTAATTATAGGAATGTGATTGTCTAAGGAAGTCAAGTACGTTGTTTGGTTGGTAACCGTCCATTATGACGGAGACAAAATATATTTTTTCAAACGAAGCAAAAAAATTGTATTCATATAAAAATTTATATTTGGACATCATATTTTGAACTATTCTCAAATATATGTTTAAACTGAGCATGGTTTTAAATTTGAGAATAATAAAATAAGAAATTGATTTTTATGTTCAAACAGAAAAAAATATATTATAATATCAATTGATTAAAAACATTACAAATTAAACTTTAAAGCAGTCATTATCAAAACTACTCCAGTTATAATAATATTATATTTTCCAATTATATTCAAATATATTTTCCACTTTAAAAGTACAACAATGAAGTAATTTTATTTATTTTTTATTTTTTCTGGTTAGAAAGCTGAGAAAGTTTAAAAGTTATGAATGTTTTTTTAGTGTATTTATGTCGAATGATGATAAAAGTTAATCCACAATTTTATAACAATTATACTATTTATAATCAATTTTATAACTTTTTTCCCCTCAAAATAATCAAGGTTTCATAAAAGTTAATCCACAATTATATTATTTATATTAGTGTAATTTAAACTTACTATTACACTGTCAATATTTCAACAAATTTTTTTTCATTCTATTAAATTTATAATAAAAAATAATATAATTTTATTTATATTTACCTGATTAACACCATTTTCTTACATAAAAATTTTATTTTTGAGAGACCGAATTCCAATCTCACTAATTAATATAAATTTTAAAATAAATTAGTATTTATTAAATATAATAATTAAATATATATATATATATTATAAAATAAATATATAAATATTATATATATATATATATTTTTTTTTAATTTTTATTTATATAATTATATGAAATAAATATAAATATATTTTTAATATAAATAATTTTAATAAGTAAAATTAATTTTTTATAGAAATATATAAATATTTTTATTAAATTTTAATATTTTTTGCTATATTTATAAAAATATATTAATAATATAATTATATAAATATATTTCTATGTTATTTAAAAGAATATATTTATATTTATTTCATATAATTATATAAATAAAACTTTTTAAATATATATATATATATATTTATATTTTATTATTATATTTAATAAATATTATTTTATTTTAAAATTTATATTAATTAGTGAGGTTGGAATTCGGTCTTCTCATAATCAAATTCCAATATGAAAATAGTATTTATCAGATAAATATTAATAGAATTATATTATTTTTGAATTATAAATTTAATAATATGTTAGTGAGATACATATTAATAAAATGATGTTATTATTTTTGAATTATAAATTTAATAACATGAAAAATCTTATTTCTACGTAGAGATTTTTTTTTAATAGACGTAACTATTGAATAATAAAAAATACATTACATTGATTGTCCATTTTATAAATTGAACCATATAGACCAAAAAAACACACAGTTTATATTTTTATTTGATTAGTAGTTTTTGTTAGTATAATATCCAGTGAATGATTTCGTTTCTACCCAGTCTTTAATATATTTTGCATTAGTTTTATTTTAGATAATTGAAGTATTAGATAATTAAAGATTGTCATGAAATTTTACTGATAAGTTTTTTTTTTAAATTGTAAGTGAATTTAAATAAAAATGCAATTAAAAACTATGAAATAACATACTAATTAGTGTAAACTTTTCAAAGACATGTAAGGCTTGGCATTTTTATTTATTTATTTTAAAATTAAAACTTTTTTGATAAATCTTATATATTTAAGTTAATAAAGTTTCACCCACTTGTTAGTTGCGTGTGGAGAGGTCAATCGAAGTGGTAGTTAAACATTGAATTTGATTTCCAAAACTTGTTTGAACTTTGAACTCTTTTTATTGTTAAATGACAATACAACACATTTCCTATCATATGAAAACCTTTGACTTTGTCAAAAATAAAATATTTTGAATTGGACTATGTTGTTAGATTGACTGTTTATTATTACGTTACAAGTTAATCTTTTTTTTATATATAATAAATATTATGTAGTAATAAAATTTGATTGTGATTTTGTTTACTTTACAGAATAATTCCTACAAATTTCAATTTTTATATTAATTATTGAATCAAAATATTATTACATAAAAATATATAATTTGTAGTTGAATACATCTCTTTTATTTAGGAGAGTAATCCAATTATCCCAATTTAATTATTATTTGATCCATCTACGGAGTAATTAATTGATGTATTATTTAATTTTACAAATCTATAATTGCATATAAATGGAAAGTTTTCAACAGTTTTTTTTTAAATAATTGAAAAAATTTGAATTAAAAAATGATTATTATGATTTATATATTTAAAAAATAATAGAAATATAAAAATATTTAAAAAATAGAAAAGAGAAAAAAATTAAAATCATGTTTCTAAAAATTAGTTATACAAAAATAACATGTGTTTTCGTACGTGTTTGTTTACGCTGTTGATTATAATAGAAAAACCCGCCGTACATACAATCATAACGAATATAATTCTTCCCCTCTTCTAAAATATTAAAAAATAAGTCAAATCATTATTCAAATTAATATAATTTTCATGGAAATCAGTACTTTCGCAAATTGTGAATACTCTCCATGTTTTATCATATTTACAGAAGGGTCAGTATTATGTTAAGATTTTATAATTGTTCAAACCCAAATTAGTGGTCAGTGGTTGGTGTTTACCCTGAAATTTGTGGAGCACCAGAAGTTTGAAAGGGTACTGTGTCCACTCATTGCTCGGTATACTCATGTGGGGTTCCCAAAACATATGCCGAATTAGAAGACACCCCAGATTATGAATTGTTGCTCAGCAATGGCGTCCCTTCTCAAAGCACCTTTCTTTATTTCCCCTCTGAACCAAAAGGTGATTTTGGAATTCATGATGTTCAGCAATCTCATGTCTCTTGCGTCATGGGTTTTTCTGTTACTCTTACAAGATGCCAAATTGGGAATTTGGGTCCAGTAATTATTACGAAGGATTTGGGTTAGGGTTGGAGACTTTGGTGGATGTGTTTGGTTTAAACTTCTTGTTCCGAATTGGGAATTTGGTGGGATTGTCTTTTAATTCTTTGGTTGCGAAGTGTTTACAAGCTGTGTAGCCTCATGTTGTTTTTTTCAAAATGCAAAATCCATGATTTCTAACTCTGCTCCTGTTGGGTTCTTTTAAGAAAGAGAAAACTTAGATACAATAAATTCAGTGTTGTTGTTATGGTTCTTCAATCAGAGTTGAAGTTTCGATTTAATTATCGGCATAATCTTTTAATTCTAATCTTATCATGTCTAAGATAAAATTCATAGTCTGATAGGAGAATAACACAAATTTTTGCCCTTTTATTAATACCATAGAATAGGGAGTTTAAAATGGTTAGGAAACAAGTTGTTATGATGTCACTTGTTTCTGATGCCACCTTTATCTCCCTACTCATTGTAGCATTGTCCATGATCGATGTTATCTACTGAAGGGCTAGGAGGGAGAAAAGTGAATTTTCCTGGGCATTTGATGTATTTTCACATTGGGAATAAATCATCACTGATTGGGATATTGGTCGCATCTGACTCCTCCTTACTCCTGATTGTTTGACATGTTTCAATTTCTTAGGTGCTGTTTTGTTAGTGGAGGCAACAAGTTATTGAATATTGTGATTCTCATTTCTCAATATGAATCACACAATCTGATACAATTTAGCTATATCACACGATTTAGCAATTTATTGATTTTTTATGTTTTCTTTCACCATTTCTTATCAAGCAAACTGACAAGTCAGATGAGTGTAAATTATTAAATAAAAAGGAAGTACAGAAGCATTACCGACAAACCTTGATAATTCATATGCTCTATTTTGTTTTTCTGAAACAATGTTTCACATCATCATTCACTCCTTCTATGTACTATATTTTACTGTTTCATAGCCTTGCATGTGCTTTTCTTAAATAGAGGCCTCATCATCCACTTAGTTATTACTTAAGCTTTTATTTCATGATACTTATGATCATTTTCTTGTCTAAAAAATTAATACACTGAGAATTAAACATCATTTATATGATATATTTCTGGTCATATATTTTTTTTGTGCTTCTGAATGATGCTATTGATACATTGTATGATTTGTGATTCAAAAGTTAGCATAAGGATTCATGATTTGAATTACAATTCTATAATCTTGGTGGTAAACAAAAACAATTTTCATCAAGAAAAACAAGCATAATATTTTTTGTTGGTAATTCTCAATCAGATCAGGGAAAAGAAGGATTCATGAATGGATCTTGAAAGCATGTAACTTCATTTAGTTCGAAATGAATTTCAGCAATTTCTCTGCAGGGAACCTTGTTAATTGACACTTCTGTAGAATGTCATTATACACTGTCATTCTAGACACACAATCTCAATTCTCTTGTTTGGTAACCCATGTTGGTTGCAGTTGAATTATGTTAGCCTTTCTCCCACAACCACAAACCTGCAATCCAAATTTTATAATGTTAGTGTCAGAAATGGGAGATGGCATGTTCCTGGCATGACTATAAAAGCTCAGGCCGGTGTTGAAGGGGATGTACTTGACAAAGAATCAGTCTCTATCAATGAAGCAAGTGGTATATAGCTGGTTATTGTTCATTTTCTGCTTTATTCACGCGTTTCAGGGTTGCTTTTGATCTATTTTATTTTGACGTTGCTGGTATTTTTCAGATTATGGGGTGGTTAGTATGCACCATGTTGGAATTTTATGTGAATGTCTAGAAAGATCCCTTGACTTTTATCAAAACATTCTAGGTATGCCAACTTGTCAAACTTAAATTTACTATGTACATTGTTTACCTAGAATCAAGTATATGAATAACTAAATTGAATGAAATTTAGGCCTCAAGATAAATGAAGCAAGGCCACATGATAAGCTTCCATACAGGGGTGCTTGGTTATGGGTAGGCTCTGAGATGATTCATTTGATGGAGCTTCCAAATCCTGACCCTTTAACTGGACGACCGCAACATGGTGGTCGAGATCGTCACACGTGTATCGCAATCCGGGATGTTTCTAAGCTGAAAGAAATCCTTGATAAAGCTGGTACAACTTCTATCTTTCTCTAAATAACATAACTTGGGTGTGATCATGATTTACTATGGTTCATGTTATTTTCTACTTTGTAGGTATTCCCTACACACTTAGTCGTTCCGGGAGACCGGCAATCTTTACACGTGATCCTGATGCAAATGCTCTAGAATTTACGCAAGTAGATGATTGATGCTTATGGATATCACATGCCAGGCCACATACCTTTGGCGCCATAAGTTCCCAGAAGGTAGAAATAAGTGTACAAATGATTATATATATATATGTATAGGCTGAAGGGACTTATAAGGCATGGTAAAGTAGTCTGCTATGCAGTGGCACTAGCAGCAATGTAATACTGACTCATATTGCACGCATGCAAGGACAAATGGAACGTGAATACTGAGAATTATAGTTGAAATTGAACGAGACAAGATTGTGGAAACTGGAGAGTGATCTTTTCACTCGGAGCACTTGAGGCTCCACGAAAGGGAAACATAAAAGTAGAGGGTAAAAGTTTGAAGTTATTCGTAGCCAAGAATTTTATTGTTTGAAAATGAATAAAAGATTGACAACGCCCGTAATATCGTATGTATCTACTATCGTATGATTTGATGAGGGAAGGAGAGAAATTACGGGTGTTAATTGAGGATTTAGGTCTCTAAATATCATTACTCTTATTTTTATCCCATACTTTTTTTTTTGTATTCACCAACAAAGTAAATCTTTTACTCTTTCTTTTCTTCATAATCATATATATGCTTCGTAAATACACTTTAAATTAAAATGTCATTCTACTTTCATCTTCACCGAACATTTTCTTTAGAAGAAAACAGTACATTTAATATGTTCTAATTGCCCAAGTATAAAATAACTTATGATATCACAAGAATAATATCATTAGATCGTAAAGCCTAAAATGTAATTATAAATTACAAAATATTCACAATGAGATCTTTAGCAAAAGTAAATAGCAAGTACATTATATTATGATCTTTAGATTTATAACAAGCTTCAATGCTTTAATAATGGAACAATGTCTCAACGTACGTGAAGATGTATATATTTTGTCTGCAACAAACTTTCATTCTTGTCCAAGTCCGTAAGAAAGAAGTCTGCAAGTGCTGCTGACATTTCTCATTGGGCTAAATACAATGGCTATATAAAGTTTATATACAACCTTAAATGAAAAGGAATAAACAATTATTAGCCATTTAGCAGCACGTGCAGCTAAATTCCTAGAGTATATACTTTTCATATTACCTTTTACAATATTTTTCTCTCTATCTGACCACCTATCTTAAAAACTTCTGGGAAATTTAAATTCTGACTGTTTTAGGGTTTAGGTAAAAGTTGGTTGGGTTGAAATCAACAGTAACTAGTACGATATTCATTGCTTAGTGCTTACTAATCAAAAGGTCATTCCTGAATTCCACTCCTGAATGGCAGAACGTAAAGTATGGTTTGGAGTCAACACAGAATGCTGGAGCTTAAGCTTTGTCATGGGTGACACATTGTGTTTGCTGAGCCATGCCCTGATTGCTCTGTACTCATAAGTAAACCCATCCGCAGCAATATATGGATCATCCATGATTTCCTGGAGTACTCACGAGTCAACCAAGGATATAATGATATATCCGGAAAAGATTTGCATCACACAAAGATATAAAAAAACAGAAAAACCAAAATTTCAACACATAAGTGCAGATTTATACCTGAAGGATTGGACAATAATACTGGCTTGGTGCACTTACACTATTCCTTCCCATTCTTGCACTTACATTTGCCGCATTAGAAAATCTTTCGAGCAGTGGAAGAACTTCAGTATCAAGTTCTGGTCTATCCCTGCACCTAAGTGCAGTGCATTTAAGGGCAACTTGAGCCAATTCCACTGTCTCATCTAGTGGCCAATCTCCAGCTGATGTATCTAAAATATCACGGAAGGATCCATTTCTAATTGCATCTTCAACAGTCACAATGAGTCCACGTGCATGGCGACCAGTTATTAGTTGGAGAGTTATAACTCCAAATGCATATACATCTGATTTTGGTCGGACAGTGCCAGTTCTCTGATATTCTGGGTCCATGTAATGCAGAGTACCGGCAAGCATGGATTCTCTGTACTCTGTAATGTTGTCAGGCACGACTTCTGCTAGGAGTTTAGCCAGCCCAACATCAGATATTTTGCTCACATAATTTCTGTCTAACAAGATGTTGCCAGGTTTTATATCTCGATGGACAATTGGCTCGGGCTTTGAATTATGCAAGAATGACAACCCACAAGCCATTTCAAAGACTATGCGAAATCGAACAAACCAAGGAAGAGGTGGTTTTCTATTTTGGTTGAGAAGATAGTCTTCCAGACTTCCATTTTCCAGGTATTCATAAACAAGGCAACCGGTCTCAGGACAGGCTCCAAGTAACAAAACCATATGAGGATGATGCAGTTGACTAAGAATCTCAACCTGCAACAAATGGGAGACAGCAGAAACTCAGAAAGGAATGCTTTCTCTTGTTATTGCAGCATTGAAATATTGAATTCTTTTTAGATATTTAAAAGGCACTTATAATTAGGAAGCTTTGAAAAATGAGATGAAGGGAGTTTAGTTTGAAAATTCAATCTACATTTAAATAAGCCAATTTCACATGAGTTCTATTGCAGCACACAAAGAACAAAGTGTAAATCCTAAGGAAGCTTGATCTGTCAAGGATTAGTAACTTATAACAGTCAACTTTTCCTGTGGTAGCGGTACTAGGATGGCCAATTTTAAATATTTCCAATAGACTTGGATGCTTGAGCTTGCACTTGTCAGTTTTATAAATCAATTCCTGCTCTAGATTCTTTAACATTTAAAATATGATACAAAGAAGGTCACCAGAAGACACACAAGAAGTCAGTAAGTCTCAGAATTGGACTCTCAATAAACAATTAAACCAGGGACGGGGAAGACCTCTTTCAGAAACTCCTCTTTCTTGTTGATTGCATCCTGATGCAGAACCTTAACAGCTACTGGTGTGTGATCAAGATTACACTTGTAAACTTTCCCATATCCACCTTCACCAATCATCAAGTCCTTAGAAAAGAAGTTTGTCGCTATCTTGATGTCATCCATGGTGTACTTTCTGTATCTCATGTCGTTTGAGATCAATGTATCAACAATTCTCTGTTTCTCTATTGATTCTTTAAGGACATCAAGTTCAGCCATCTGCCTTTCATACGACTCTTTGGCAAACTTATTTTTCGCCTCCTCGAGATCCTTCATGACTTTTAAATAGTTAGTTTTCTCTTCAGCAGCAATCTTTCTCAAAACCTCCTCTCTTTTTATGGAAGCATTCACTCTTTTAGTTTCTTCAAGAGATTCAGAAGAAAGTAAAAGGGCCTGCAAGTAAAAAGGGGTTAAGTCATAAAGGCATAAATTTATCTGGTTGGAGAATAAGTACTGTGGAATGCCGAGCTCCTAAACTAAAGATTTAATTTAAGTCCAATTTTTGCAACCGTGCCACCATGAAACAGACAGGCTTTCAAAAAAATAAGTTTGAATAAGAAGCTTATTGAAATTAAAGAGGACATAAGCTTTATGCATGAATACGCTTGAAACCAATTACTTTTTCTTTTTGTTTTGATTTATTTATTGAATTTGAATTTTGATGACCTTAAGGCTCTTGATCAGGTTTTAGTCATCCAAAATTAATGCTTAAAAATAATTGACAAGCAGCATTATATCCTCTTAGGCAAAAAAATTGTTTTCTTTTAACATATTATTCGAGTGGATTTCTTCGTAGGCACTGGCATAGGTATTGAGAACGTGGGGGACAGGAACGGGGATGAAAGAGAATAGCTTAGCTGAATTAGAGACCCAGACATACATCTCCTTCTAGAAACAAAAGAGAAATCAAATATTTTCAAACTCTCACCTGGTTTTGAGCTTCAACCAGCTCTTCACAAACCTGTTTGTACATGGCGATAGTATTTTGCAACTCCAGTTGCAGCCGTTCGACTTCTTCTTGCATGACTAACTGCTTAAGTACACAACATATCAACACCACAGCCATGTTGGAGTTAAAATATATATATATATATATATATATATAGCGTTTTCAAAAAATGTTATTTATATGTGACACACTCCAGAGTTTTCTTTTGAATAAAAGGAAGAAAGCTACCTGTTCACGTTGTGCAGTAGCAATGGAATCAAATGAATGGAGACTGATAATTTCAATATCATCGCCACAGTCTGGATTTTCATTTTTGGTAGAATTTTCAAAAGAATCCCTACGACTAATTGTTTGCAGACCAACGTAATTATGCTCGGATATTGATAAAAATCTGAAATTCCTTAGCATTTTAGATTCTGTTGAGCATGTACTGATTCCGGATATTGCTCTGCCAATGCCAGCCTCATTGTCTACTTTATTTACTTTAGTAGACATGAAGTAACTTGGGCCAGTCTCTGTTTTGGAGGGAAAATAAAAATCAGAAGCTAGTCAATTTTTTTCATGAAGTTTTTTATTCAGGACCCTACTTCTGTGAAAGCATTGTCAAAATCCAATATAAGATGGCCACAAAATTAGGGCATAGGTGCAGACATCAAAATGTCAAAGTGCAAGAACTTCAATCATACCATGAGAATGTGAAGATGACAAATCAGCCAACTTCGATACAATTCTGTCTCTTGCTACAACATACACATCACAACTGTCTGGAGTACATCTTAGAATGGTAGTTGGTATTCCAGGTCCTTTTAGCTTTCTGGAAGAAGAAAAACTGAAACTTAGTAGCCCGTAAATGATCATTGTTCTGAATTACTTTATGATCCACCCTCTCTCTCTGATAAACTGTTTGCCAGAAAATTCAATTAATTTCGATGTACTCAAAACAAGTTTTGGATTGACGTGACAGATTTATTTAATGAGTGTCATACATAATTTTGCAATTTCTATTAAATTTTAACTAATAATAAAGAGTATGCTATAATAGTGTGTTAAAAAGTGTATTGTTTTATTTTTCATATTTAGAAACCCATACCTTGTTATAAAATTCGAAGAGTCAGAACCCAGCACTAATGTTTGGACCCCGGACTCCGAAATAAAGCTAATAAGTGCTTCTGCAGCATTGTCATCTTCTAGCAGTACGGTTTCCATCTACAAAATTTTGACATTAACCTTAGCGTAACACCTTTTTAATGTCAAGTTGAAACCAGCGCATGCGCAGTCCAGAAAACCAAGTTCTGAAGCACTGATACTCCAGAATTGGCTCCATGCATATTAATATCCAACACCAATAAGCGTAGGATACTACTACATGTTTGTTGCTTTGAAAAGAGAAATGAATGGAGAGAAGGTTTTAAACATTGATGTGTGATCAGTGCTAAACTTTACAAAATTCACTTACTTTTGTGTCAGTAAACAAATAGTAAGACTTACAGAATTATAATAAAAAACTCATTTAACTAACTATAGATCATAGATATTCTAATAGAACAATAATAAATAAAAAGTAAAATAAATTAAGTTTATGAGATAAGATAAAATCATCTAACACTGCAATACAACCATCAACTTCTTAAGAAATTGTACATTTGCATGATAAAAAACACTCACCGTGTTTGAATCGCAGAGTTTCTTGAACGGAACGAAGATTTGTTCAGATTTTTGCTTCACATCGTCCACGTAAGCTGCAAACACGTCGGCGTCTGCTTCCGAAACAGGAATATACTCTTCAGCTGCGAATTAGGAATCCCAACAACATCAACAACAACGCATTTCAGTTATCAAAGCGAGTTTCCAATCGTATTTAATAAAATGAGAGTGTGCGGAACGTACTTGGTGTGACAATTGATGTGATTCGAGAAATGACGTGAACTAAGATGAACCTATCGGCTTGAGGGACGAGATTATTCACCGCCCACTGCACAGCTCGCCGGCTACCCTTGCCGGACCCGCCACTCACAGCAACAGCAACCGATCTCGCCGACGGCGCAGTGGACATTTCTCCTTGGTCAACGCGACTTTTAATTGCTTCTTCAACTACCTCAGCGACCGTTGAATTTATAGTTCTCTGTCCTCGCTCATTGCACAGGCTCTTCGCAATTCTTGTACTCATAAAACTCTCTTACGGTGAGAAATGAAATTTAGAGATAATAAAATTGTTGTCACAACATGCATATTTACCTAATTTATGGGATTTTTGAAAAATAAAATGCTATTTAATTATTTAGTATTTTTGAAAAAAAAAAAATCTTCACTCTCTATTTAGTATTTTTATTTTGAATAAAAGATCGATTACATGTAGAATATGAAATTAAGCGTTGATAAAGGGAGGGCATACATTTACTCTTTAAATAAAGAATTTTATATTTATAAAAATAATAATTTTTAATAGATTAAATTTATGTTAATTTATTTTTTTATCTTTAAATATATTTTTTATCATAATTTTTTTTTTCATCCAAAATCTCAAATTTCAACAGCATCCTGTGTTGTTTATGATCAGTCTTAAAAGTTGAAGTTACTTAAATCATTTTTTTATTCTCTCTCTCTCTCTCTCTCTCTCTCTCTCTCTATATATATATATATATATATATATATTTCACTGATCAAACCCTTTTAACCATTTAAGGCAATATCATGTTTTAAAAAATTGGACAAAAAGACAAGAAGTTTTAGAGACATTTAATATAGGATAAATAGGTAATTTAGTCTCTTTATTTATTAAAATGTTTTAATGTTGTCCTAAAATTTTTAATTTAGACATGAATATTAAAATTGATATCAATTTTGAATTACTGTTATGTATGTTTTGACTTCGTTATATAAAATGTCTAGTTAAAGTATCAGTTCTGATGTGATTAGGTGATTGATTATAGTTACGTGGTAGATTGCCACATCACATTAAAATTGTGGGAAGAAAGGAATATGGTCGCAGATATGTTTAGGGTTTGAATAATTAAGAGTTTATGCAAATGGGTGAGGAAAAGTGAGAGGATCTGCAATTACAGGGGAGGTGGGAGTTTCATTTGTGACGACAATAGGGGTTTAGGGTTCCAATCACCGTCGTGTGAGAGATTGACTGTGATGAAGGAAGAAGAGGTTGATTTCATTTAGGATTTGTGACAATGATATCGAGGGAACGAATTGTTTTCAACGAAGAGGGAAGGGAAACCTGTGACGCCGAGCATGCGGGAGGGACTATCTGCGACCCGATGACGAAAGAACGACGATGACGAGAGATGAGCGATGATAAGCGACCATCCACGACAACATTGTAGATCCTCACGTTTTTCCTAACCCATTTGCACAAACTCTCAAATGTTCATACCCTAAACACATCGGCGGCCCCTATTCATTTCTTCCTGCAATTTTAATATAACGTGACAGTGTCACGTAACTATAATCAATCACCTAACCACATCAGAATTGATACTTCAACTAGGTATCTAATATAACATAATAAAAACATAAATAACGATAGTCCAAACTTGACATCAATTTCAATATTCATGTCTAAATTAAAAATTTAAAAATTTTGAACCACATTGAAACATTAAAAAAAAAACAAAGGGACTAAATTACTTATTTAATCTTTAATATAATATAAGTGATTATTTTTTATATTAATTATAAATTAGTTTATTAAAATTTTACATATTATTTCTATAATTAATAGTGAATAATTTATCATTGTATCTTATAATATTAATCAAGATGACTCTAGTATAAAAAAATAGATAGGAGGAACTGATTTATTAGTAATCACGCACGACAAATTTTAATGTATCCGGTTAAATGGTGACAGACTAGCTAATAAAAAAAAAAAAAAAAAAATATATATATATATATATATATATATATATAAAATGTATTTTTTTAAATATACATCTTTAATTAGATAAATAATTTATAAATTTTTATTTTAAATTAATATATTTATTAAATAAATTGAAAAATATTATATTTATATATTAAAATAATTAATCATTATAAATAATTAAAATTTAATTTATTAATTTATAATTAAAAATATATTATATTTATATATTTCTGATAAAAAATAATATTTTTAATTATAATATTTTTATTTTTATTTTAATATATAATTTTTTTTTTAAATATATCCGAGAAGATAGATTATTCCATAAGCACGTGGAATTAGAAGGTTAAACAAATGAACTGTAATGAATAGATCACTTAATATTACACTAAATCTATTAATCAATCAGTTCCTTTAGTCTATATAAATAATTATCTTTCGTAAAAATATATATCAATTATAATACAAAATTATTTCTCTTTTTTATTTTGGGAGAGAGTTATCGATGGAGGGCAGTTGGTGAAGCTACGAGGGATTTGGAGGACATTTGGGACGTGTCTTAAGCTCCTCAACATCGTATTTTTTCACGAATATTTTAGAGCCACATGAGATCAGTGCTCTATGGAAAATTTTTCGGCGGTGGGGTAAGGTGGTGGATGTGTTTTTACCATAGAAACTTGATAAGGTAGGTCGGATGTTTGAGTTTGTCTGTTTTGCAAATGTATGTAATGCGGAGGCATTAGAACGGAGATTGTGATTAATTGTGATTGGTACGAAACGACTGAAGGTGCATTTGAGTCGTTACGCTAGGAGTCCTGCGGACGCGGTGAAATTACATCGCTTCAGGGAGGGTGTGGTTGGGCAATTAGGTGTGGGTGATTCTTCATACGCAGATGCTCTGCGAGGTCCTCAGGCTTTGTTGGCGAAGGAAAACCCGACAGTGGTTAGGGTTGAGGGAAAGCGGCCAAAACAACCTTGATGTCCCTTACACTATGCAGTGAAGGAGTCGTTTCTTGAGGAGTGCTACCAGACTCTTGTTGGTTGCCTTGTAGACCCCTAATCTTGCCCGACCTCATAATAAAGATCAGAAGACCTTCTATTCGAAGATGGATGAAGCCTAAGAAGCCACTAGGAGAGACTATTAGGCCCCATACTAGGATAGGAGGGATTTTTGGTCCAAAAATAAGGATTTTCACCTTTTAAGGTCGAGACCGCCGTCTCGCCTTGTTAGACGAGACGGCCCGTCTCGACCTGACAGGCGCGAATCCCTATAAATAGGGCCCCCATTCCCTTCATTTCCAACAGTTCTTCCTCCTTCTCTCTAGAAATCTCTTCAAATTCTCTTTCTATAACCCCTCCGAAGCATTTCCATAGTTTCTGAGTGTTTTTGAGCGTTTCGAGAGGTTTCCGACGTTGTAGAGTGAAGGGCTGCCGCAAAACACCATATTTTTAGAAAGAATTAATAGAAAAGCTTGCTTCGGAGGTTTATACTCTCTCTCTCTCTACTTTTACCGCTTTAATTTTAATTGTGCAATAGAGATTAGGGCCATGTAACCATAACTTAAAATTCCGCAAAATAAAGGGTAAAAGTGTATTTTTCACAGGTTTATTTATTTATCCAAAGTAGCTAGCCTATCATAGGGAACCCGAAAGGGGCGTCGTAAAGGAACTAACACTTCCTTTACGCGTAACTAACTCTCTTACCCAACTCTGGTTCTAATGACCAAAGTTGGTTTTTCGAAAACCAACGCCTTTTAAACTCCTTTTTCGATGTTTCTGGTAAAAACATCGGTGGCGACTCCAGAGAACCCTTAAAAAACTAGTTCTTGGTTTAGCCCGGTTATCGGACAATCCAAGAACTTCCTTTCGAAAACCTCGCCTCTAGATTCAGCCCGATTATCGGACAACCTAAAGGAGTTGTAACCACCAATAAAAATGCGAAAAACGGAAAGTCAGAAACCATCGCGTCGCTCCGACCGCCCTCGTTTTGACGGTGGCGACAGATGGCGACTTCACTGGGGAAGCCTAGAGAGTTGATCCCATTTAGTGATGGGCTAGCCTAAAGTAAATAAACCAAGAAAATAACGCTTTTACCCTACCTTGTATTATAACATGTTTTATTGTTTGACTTTAATAACTGTTGTTTGTTTATATTTATGCAATTGTTTGAAATACAAACTGTACACAAACCCTTGCACACAACAGTTCCCTCTATACCCGGGGGTAAGTGAGAAATCCATAGGGAGTGGGTGGCAGGTACGGTTCGCTGTAGTGATGGCCTTGTGCCCACCAGGTGTGATCGGAAACCACCACTCAAGGTGATAACCTTCCTCTTTTGGCACAAAGATCGACTATGGCCTTAGTGCTAAGCATGGTCGGAAGGCTGGAGAGTGGGGACCCTATAATGGGGGCACCTTGGGGGCCTTAGCCTTGGTGAGAACAGTTAGAACCTACCTTCGCCAATGCACTTTTCTGCAGGAAAACCCTACCTCGTGATTAAAACGACTTCTCGCCTGTTCGTGGATGTTCGAATTGCGTGTACATCTATTTTTTGCATTTGTTTGTTGCATAGCATAACCAAACAACAGAAAAATCACAAAAAATATTTTTTGCAATAAACACCCCTATCTCGGACAGTCTGCCTTTTAGCTAGCCTGGTTTCAGGTTCTTTGTAAGCTAAGTAACCACGCAGTCCGACAGAAGAGATAGTGGACGTTAACCAATTCTTTCGCATAAAGCCAATTTTTATCTCGGACAGTCTGCCTTTTAGCTAGCCTGGTTTCAGGTTCTTTGTAAGCTAAGTAGCCACGCAGTCCGACAGAAGAGATAAAAGGCTATAAAATAAAAATGGAAATAAAATCAAATAAAAAAAATCCTGATTCTAAAACAATAAATGGGACCTGGTTCAAAATATTACCCCCATATAAGTAGTTTATTTCTTCAAAAATAAATAAATGTATCATACAAAAACATGATAAATAAAAATAGACACTCGCATTCATTCAATAAGCATCATTTTCATAAAACATGCATTTTGGTTTTAGAAAATGGAGGGGACTAGTAGACAATTGAAGAAGGTAGACATTCCTCGATATCATGCTGAAAAATTGGAACGGCTAAGCGCGACAATGTCACCAGAGGTCCGCTCTGACTTTGAGAAATCCTATGGACGGATTCTCGACCTGCTGAAGATCTGTGTCGACCAAGTCTTCGTCAGGGTATTAGTTCACTTCAGGAACTCCAGTCTGCGTTGCTTCGAATTTCTGCAGTTTGATATGGTGCCCACCTTAGAG